GTGGAAGAGAGGATAAATGGTCTTGTTACACTTGATGTGAATATCGGTGCATATATTAACCAACTTACTTCACACTAGCTGGTTTCAAAAGTTTATTAGCTCTTCCACTTGCTTTTGGGGTGTGGAGAAGTTTGATCAAGCTTTGATATGAACATACAATTACTAAGAAGCAATATATAAAAAACCAAACACTATTATTTGTTAGGTGTAATAAATGTGCTTGAAAGTAGCAGCATACATAAAACTGCAGTGCAATATATCAGTTCTGCAATGTCTTGGACCTTCAGAGATGATACTGTTGCACATGAATTCCTTTCATGTAGTGAGGTAACATAAAATTGAAGAAGGATTATCTGAAGTTAAAGATGATTGATAGAAGCCTAAAGTGGCCCTAAAGGAGAATTTGCAGGCAAGAGTGCTCTTCTTTGACTTCCACAGTTGTTTTAGTCTGAATGAGGAAGGGAGTGACCAGGATAAAACTAAACAATAAGAAAAATGAAGTTGATAAACCGGTGGGCAGTCAGAGGATGGGGGCAATGGCCATGGTTGGATATTCACAGTTTTTCATGCGGGTTTAATCCAAAGTCTCAGTGGACACATTTATAGAAGAAGATTTATAAAAATATTTGAATAAATTTACTAAAAGGGAAAATTAATTTATTAGAATGGGTCTTTCTGCATGGTACCATGGTGTTCATAAAGAATAACAAAGATCTGATTAAATCCTGGAGTGTATTGTTGTGAAACTGAGGAGCATTCTAGTAAAGTTACAGCCATAATAGAATATTGGCTGTAGCTGGGCAGGAAAACAAATGATTATGCCTTTGAAAATGCAAGATGAACCTTCACAGAGCTTTGTGGTTATGTGCTGATATGGAGAGAAAACAGTTCTGCAAGGTAGATCCATGGTTGCTGCTCTCTTTCCCCTATAACTGGTTTTTAAGGTGCCATAGAAAGTGTAATATTACATGATTTAATGGGTGAGTATCTTCATAAACATGGGGTGAAAGAAGCTCCATCAAAATATATCTGATGGCCTATATATTGTTTCGGTAAATTTTTTCAATCTAAAAATCAGTGCTTTGTAGGGTGAAATTATAATTATACAAACCTTAAGAACTAAAGATATACATAGATATAGAGAAATGACTGAGATTGTTCTCTTAACACATTGAAATAATATTTGAAGAGAAGAAATGAAGAGTAACTATAAATATCTTGGTGTCATATGTGCCAGGAAGGGAAAGCATTAGTAAGAAGAGAAAAAGTGTATTTCAGTCCAGTAAAATCCAGTTGCTGGCCCAGAGTTCTTTGAAAATGCTTTTACTGGAAACACCATCTACAGTTGTTGTGGATGGCGTTTATTACATTCTTAAAACTACACAGCTCCACAACTGCTGAGAGGCAAGCTGCTGAGGCTAACAGCTACAAATGCAATTTATGAAACACATGGCATTGTAATTTGACCAAGAGTTTAACTCAGAACCAAAATTTGAGATCATAGTTACTGTAAAAATTAAAGAGCAACCTCATACAGCAAGTATAGATGTATCTATCCAATAAGTTAAGGAAATATGGGGAAATCAAAATGCATCATTGGTTTCTTGCTCAGCGGGAATTGTTAAAGACCACTTAGCATTGTTAAGGGAGAAATGTGTTGTTTTCACAGCAAGAGTTATTACTGGTTTTCACTCTGAAATTAGTTTTAGATTACTTATATTTTTGTTTTCCTATAGTCAGTTTCCAGCCTTCTGCCCAAGGAGATGTGTTTTATCCTGCATCTGAAAGAGCAACACGGAAAAAAAAAGGAAAAAAACCTAAACCAAACTAAACCAAACCAAAACAAATAACCCCCCTGCCAAATATAATTCTGATTTTAAAGAGACCTGAATAATTAATTAATATATTAATTTAAGGTTACTAGATCCTAAATTTGTGTATGTTGTTTATTATTAATTTTATTGTAGAGATACATTGATGCAGCTGAATTGGTTGGAAGTTTGTGACATAGAAAATTCATCATATTCTATGTCATGTATATGGAGCGTATGCTGCTACTAATTCGTGGTCTAAGTGTGATTTGAATGAAATTAGCTCAGCCTAGAACTTCAGACATGCCTTTTTATACTTTACTTCTTTATAATGTATGCTTCCACAGATTCACTTAAATTTCATGAGTTTTCTCAAAAGCAGAGCTAAAGAAATTCCAAAAAGTAATAAAAATATCAAAACCATTTCTACTGACAGCTAATAGGCACAGAAGAGGAAACATCAAAACTCAAGAACAGAAGACTCATCTAGATCTTGGTCCATTTTTTATATCCAAAGGAAGACCACACATATGAGAATTCTTAAAACTAGTTAATTAGGCTAAAAGTCATGTATAGTCTTGAGGTTGTGTGACTGAGAATTATGAACTAATACATACACATGCAACAGGGTATTCTAAAAACCAACATAGGATCCTAAACTTGCTGTTTATGCTAATAAATCAGTACGAAATAGGAAATAGAGCTTGACACCCCAAAACTTAGACCCTCTGACTCATCATTCCATTTTCTAGTTTTTAAAGTTTTCTAGAGAACAAGGTTTTCACTATGAAGCTCTGTGAACCTCTGCTAGTCTTTCTAATCTTCTTTCTTCCACCATTGCTCAGAGTAAAGTCAGTCAAAACCCTTGTGTTTTTTCCACATTTTACACCTAGTAGAGCTCACAGACTGAGCAGTCTTCCATCTGTGTTTCTTAAGACACTCTATCTAGAAAGTATTTAAAGAGTGTGCCTGCTGGGTTATATTTTACAGGAGATGTAAGTGGAAATAAAAGAAGCAAATGCTATTTATCTACTAACCCAGTTTTTACAGTTGCTAGAGTATGGAATAATTGCAAGGCTGCCTTAAAAGTTAAACTTCTCTATGCTTAGCGTATCTGTTTCTGTCTCCATTGGCAAACTTAGATCTGACTGTTTTATTGATGCAAAAATATATAAGTTCAATCATCTCCAGTAGTTTAGGAATCAATATATGGATTCATTAAAGGTAAAGGAGGAGTAACAAATGGCAATATGAACTAGGCAGGTAAGAGAGTTCCTGATTGCCTCAGCAGTTATCAAAGAATTGACTAGTAAAAAATGAGGAAGACATCTACCCTGCAGATCCAAATCAGCTCAGTTCATTTTTTAGAATGAGTTATTCCTCATGTATTTCATGTAATTTGAAAGAGATTAACTGTGTAACTCCTGTGACTGAAGAAGCTTGAGTTGATAATACTGATAATACTAAGCACTATCAATGAAACCTTCTCCTGAGGTTATATAGCATTTTTATAGTATAATAATTTCAGAAATAATCCCCTGTTCTCACAGAAAGACTAGGTGGTATGCACCAGATTGATTTATCTTACCCTGATTTCATAGACACAATACAAACCATTATAAATGTAAGAGCCTGACACAATCATTAAATTATTTGATAATTCTCACTTAACTTTTTCACTGTTATTGTTATTTGTATTCCAGCCCTGCTTAGTTCACAGTTGGAATAAAAACCAGTTGTGCCAGTTAGTGTACAGGGTTATAATATGCAAAGCTTCTTCTTCCTCCCCATCCACCGAATTTGAAGGATGCTATTATAGCCCAGTTTAAGGTGGTTAAAATACTGTTAGTTATTTCAACAGGTGCCAGATTTTCTTCTAATATCAAGAGTTTATAAAGCGTCTAGACCCAGACATGGATATAGGCAGGCCCAAGATATCTAAGTGCAAAACTGTGATTGCAATCCCCTTCCAGCATAGGTAACTGCTGTTTAGACTAGAAGTATCCTATATGCACTGAGCTCTGAGTATATGCTCAATTTGTTATGTTAAAACAAACCTCCCAACTAGAAATGTCTAGAAAAGGGACATTATTCCTGTTAAAGATGTGACAAATCCAGGAGGAACACTTCGTCCTTTTAAGGGAGAGTGGTGCCATTGCTTTAAAGGAATGTTCGAAAACTTCCCTCTTTGTGGTTGCTGTTTATTATTCTTTCTGAGAGTCAGGGAAAAGGAGATGGCAAGACAGAAGAGTACCAAGAGCTGTAATCACCACCACAGCACATCTTCACCCAGTATGGGTCCACTTCTGACTTTTATGTGTGTGGGAGCCTCAAGTTCCCAATAGCTGTAAGGCACAAAGACAGGGAAGTTGTCAGTTCATTCTCATTTATTCCAAGTACTATCTGTGTTAGTGTTGATACCTCCAAAGAACTAATTTTGTCATTGTAAGAGGAAGACTGTAGATGACCTAATGCATATTCTTAAATTGTAGTCATTTTTACTCAAAATTACATAAATCAGGAAAAAAACCATCATGACAACAGAACTATATATTAGATACAAAAGCACCACCATCACTTCCCATGTAAATTAAACCACCTCAGAGTTATAACTTTTTTATACAAAGTTAGCAGTGTATCAGGGAAATGTCCAGATAATCTGATTAACCGGCTTTCAATTTCCTATACCAATACCTTTCACCACAAACACTTTTTTTTTTAACTTACTTTTAATTTTTTAAATATTTATTAAGAGATATTTCTTTTTTTTCAAGAAAAGGAGATAAAATATTACTCTTCAGGAAAGAGAGAATTTGGCACGAAGGAGCAACTACAGGATAGGTGTTTGTGTACAAATCACATTCATGCAGCTTTTTTCTTGCAGATAACTGATGAGGAATGATATTCTTGTTGAATAAGAATGTGCACAGATTCAAGCCCTCAGTTACCTGATTAAACTAATTGTAGGCTGAAGAGGGAAGTTTTGTAATTCTCCCATTGGAGTTCTGTACGAAACAATTTGCTTAAAAAGCAATTGATGTCGTCTGGAAAACTTCGAAAAATGTTCTAGTTAAAAACACTTTGTCTGGGTGTCATGTATCTTTTGGGTTTTCTTCTATCATTTTTATCATTAGGGACATGACAATATTACTGTTGATGAGAGTATACTTACTTCTTAAGAATTCATCTGCCTTTCACCCTAAATTATTTTCATCGTAGTAATTCCCATAGCAATCACCTGTGATGTAACAAGGAGAAGATTTGACTTTTAGAGGAAAGATTGAAGATGGCATATGCTAATGCATAAAATTAAACAAATTTCTTTCTGTTAGCATATTGGGAAGGTGATGTAAAGAGTCACTTGGTTTAACAACACAAGTTCAGTGCCCTGCGTTATTTATTCTTCCAGAAGTGAAGCATTTCTTCTTTGTACAATGAGTATAATAATATATTTTCTCACACAAAATTTGTTGAGGGAATAAGTCATTAAATACTGAGGTAAATTTCTTTACTATATTTGATAATGCTGACAATGCAAGGTATAATCAGAACTATTTGTGAAAATTAAAACAACCCTGTGCAAGTCACAAGCTGGTCTCTCAATATGGAGTATTTAGAAATATATGAGAATGTATCATACAAGTATTCTGCAGCCTCATTAACCTCAGCTTCTGTGTTTTGAATAGAAAATACCTGCACATTTTATGTAGATTTATGGGATATCAAAGAGGCCATTTATTGAAACCTGAAGTGAAGCAGTAAAATTAAAAACATGACCATTCTTTACTCCTCGTAATTGACAGGTTTCTCAAGTGGTGATGAGGCAAGCTGCAGATATAGTTCCTTCACTATTGACTACAAATGAACTCTGGGGTGACTATTTGCCTTTGACACCTCGAGTAATCACTTTTCAACAGAATGAATTTGTGTCTGAGTGTCTTTGCATAAGGATGCTCCTGTGCTGCGTGGGCTTGGAATGAAATTCAGCTAAAACAGTAAGCTTTCAGTTTGGTCCTACATTCTGTGAATTATTTCATGCTTTATTTGAGCTAGTTGTTATCCTGATCTTTTATGAGTTATATGTTCTTATCCAGATACAGTTAGACTCAGGTACCCTTAAGGTGAATTCCAAGACCTTCTTTCGTTGCAGTGAGAACTAAAATATACATATATGAATATAGATAATGTACATAGGTAAAGTATATAGATAAAAGAGAAATCCAGTGATGTTCGTACCCTCCTGTGTGCTAATGTAATATGAAGTGTGTGCACAGGCTATAATATCTAAAAATATCTCTTGGAATTTGTAATGATTATTGGCTTAGGAACTAATTCATTCTGTTGATACTAATTGCCTCTTTGAAATTACATATGAATGTATCCCAGACCAGGCTTTTAAATGAAAAATGTATCCTGCAAAATACAGTCTAATTATGCAGACATCTTAATACAATGCACAATATTATAGATTTTAATTTTGAACACATTTTCTCCATATAAGGACTTTTTAATGATATATGAGTCAGTTATCCCTCCCCATTCCCTAAAGCTAAGAGAGAGAGAGACAAAAAGTAATAGGTCTCTTTTGCATGATCAGCTGTCAGTTTTCTTTCACATCTTTAACATTTGTTGCCACTACTTGACTTGTTCAGTCTTTTACTTTTAGAGGAGAAGAGTGAAATATGTAGATAAACTCGCAGATTTAAATAAAATTTTAGCCTGGAAAGGAAGAGGCATCTAGTCCAGTCTCTTACTCAAAGCAGAACTATTGATCAGGTGCTCTGGTTGTAGTGAACTATTATGTATTTGTCCTAGAATATTTAGGAGTTTGGTTTTGGTTTTGAATGCCAAAATGGCCCACTAAAATCTTCCAAAACTCATGAGATCAGTGGGCCATGATTTCATTCAAACCCTTCTGGATTTAAGGATTGATGAAAAAAACACCTTTCTCTAAATATATTTTTAAGATCACTTTCCTATGTAGTTTTTTTCTTTTGATTTCATTAGCCAAAAAAAAATAAAAATTGTACTTAACACTGTACAGTTAAAACCATTGAAATCTCCTATTTCAAGTGCAGAAAAACCAACCTGTTCAGCCACTTTGCAAGCAAACTGGAAAATTTGCACAAATATTGGAAAGCTATTGATTAAACTGAGACAAAAATGGGACTAAAATAATCCAAAAAATAATTTCAGTAAGAGTGGAATCAAAATAATCAAAGTCCATTTTCAAAAATAGAAGGTATCCATAGAACTCTCTCATCAGTCAAGCTATTTTACTAATATCAGCCTTCATCAGCAGAGAAGGTTAGTTCTGCTGTTCAGTTATGATCTAGCAGTTACAGTAATTTTGTTTGCTTCTGACAAGTAGGATAAATGAAGAAAGAAAAAGATCAGATGCATTGCATCAGGAAATAGAGCTTTCAGTTTGTATTTTAAGGCTGCAAGGCACCTGGATAATTACAGGTATATGGGGCTGGAGACTGGCCATAGCAGCTCTTGTTCTGAAGTCTGGCACTCTTGGTGAAGGGACTGGAGCACAGGCCCTATGAAGAGCAGCTGAGGGAGCTGGGGCTGTTTAGCCTGGAGAAGAGGAGGCTCAGGAGAGACCCTCATCACTCTCCACAACTACCTGAAAGGAGGTCGTATCAAGGTGAGAGGCGATCTCTTTTCCCAGGCAACCAGCAGTAGGACAAGAGGACACGATCTCAAGCTGTGCCAGGGAAGGTTTAGGTTAGACATTAGAAAGAAATTCTTTTCAGAGTGATCAGACATTGGAATGGGCTGCCCAGGGAGGTGGTTGAGTCACCATCCCTGGAGGTATTTAAGAAGAGACTGGATGTGACACTAAATGCCATGGTCTAGTTGACAGGGTGGTGTTGGGTCATGGGTTGGACTTGATGATCACAGAGGTCTTTTCCAACTAGGTTGATTCTGTGATTCTGTGATTGAACTTCTTTTTTCATCATGTTGACTGCTTTACAGACTGGATATCCAACACACTCTATTTATTTCAGCCACCTCCAGCCCTGTTATTAAAAACAATTCTTAGGCTACACTGGCAGAATTTTTCGTATGCACTAACCTTTTGAAAATTCTCTTTACTAATAAATATTCATTGCTATATACATTCTAATAAATAGTCATTGCTGTAGGGGAGTAGTCAGACTTGGTCCTCAAAGTTTCAAGTTCCTTTTGCTTCAAATGTTCCTGCAATCAGGGCTCTTATCTTTCTCTCTTCTTCTTGCCCTTCCTATTCCCCTTGAGCCATGAACCCAGTAGCATGTTCCTGACCTTTTCTCCCCTTTGCTTCCTCAGTGCTTCATTGTGACCATATGCCTCTCCCAGAACCCTCAAAAGCTTATTGCTGCTGCTTCCAAGGCAACCCTGATATGTCCCCACCTGTGGCTCACTGGATCCTGTGATCACCATAACTTCTAGCTCTCTGAGCTCCTCTCCTCCTGCCTGACTAATGAGTATGTCTGCACTGCTGAATTTGGGTCACATTGGGACACAGTGGTTTCAGACTGGCTATGTTCTTAACCTTGAGGACTAAGAGACTGGGAGAAAACTAAAACTAAGCAGTGGCAGGGGTCCTGGTCTTGAGATTGCCCATGTGCCCTCCCTCTTCTCTTTAACAGCACAGATGCAACCCCTGTAATCCAGTGTCTACATCTGACATGCAGGTCCCACATCACACAAGCTCCCAGACAAGGAGGTGTGTTGGAGACCACAGTGGCTGCCTCCTGCAGCAACTGAGGCATAGAGGGCAAGGAGAAGGAGAGGAGTGTATGCCTCAATATTACCCTGACATATGGTCAGGGCTCAGCACGAATGAACACCAGCTGGGAGCTGGAGAGCACTCAGGGCATGGTGATGTCAGATCCACATGCCAGTCTGAATCAGTGATACGTCTCAGTCTACATACCCATAAACACATGCATGCACTGGGGGAGATGGAGGGTGCATACATATTTTTATATAAAAACATATATATACACAACAGGTTACCTTGGTTGGCCACAAGCATCTACAGAGATAAACAGCAAAATGTCAGCAGACTACACTCAAGTTCTCTCATCTGAAAGTTATTATGTTTTCACAAAACATGAATTTGCAGGTAATATTTGTGTAGTATATATTCCCAAAGGTGACCTAGATGCATTCAGGTCCCTCAGACAGGTTACCCTTTGTGGATGCTTATTGGTCTTTTTAAAAAAACATGGAATTGTTCTAAACTTTTATCTTTATGCAGTTTAACCCAATTACAACACTTTAATAAGTTCCTGATCAACACAAAGTTTCTAGAAAGCAAATTTTCAGTAGGGTTTTTTTGCAGGGTGTTGGTTAAATAAAATAAAATTAATAAAAATATATTAAGATTGCCTTTGAAAACTCAAGATAAACTGGGGGAAACAAAGACAAGAAACAGGCTGGATGAAAATTACATTCCTGCTATAGAGAAAACTTGCAGAATAAGGGAAATCTTATATCTAATTAAGAAACAGACAAATTTTTTTTCACTGAAACCTTACAACCAAAATGCATTTCAACAGGGACCAGAAAATTGCTATATCTGTACATAAAAGAAGCAGAACAATTTAAAACTGAAACTCAATAATTACAAATTCTGAATGTCTTCCATAACTCTGTTATGAAGAAGGCTTCATATCTGCTAAAAACCCTTGAGTAGTAATATCTGTTAGCTTTTCTTGCTGTTAGCAAATTCTGTTTTAATGGTTTAAATAAATATTACATAAATTACAGAGGCATTTTTCTGCCTTCGATATTCATAATTTGAAATTAACACAGGCTGTAAAAAATTATTTTATACATGAATGTTTAGAAGGTAAAAATGTGTGGACTCAGAAAGCTTCAGAATTTGAAGCACTCATCTGATAACTGGGGACTTAATTCCTCAATGAATTAAAACCTGTGCCCAGCTTAATGTCTGTTGCTAGTTCCACTGTCCCCAGCTGGTATGGCCACATGTTTAAATTCATGAATTTATGGGGGAACCAGAGCCCAGGAGGCATGTCAAACATGAGCCCCATTCTCTTATTGGATAAACTGGGCAGCAAAAGCCTTCCAAGTGTTTTCATGAATCTCTACAGCACGTGTCTGTTTTCTGAACAGTTATGTTTAAAGCAATAAACATCAAAATCCAAGCTAAAGGAAAGAGTGGGGAATGTGTGGCATGTGTTTATATTAGCCAGAACTCAACTACTGCAACACAATGCACAGATTTTTTTGTAGGCCAAATAAATATGTCCTCAGGCATATAATCTGTCCACTTAATAATTCAGTTACTGTACATATGGAGTCCCATTTTCTGTAACGAATTGGAACAAGTTTCTGTTAAAATGAATACTCTTTTCCAGCCCTTCAAATTAGCACACTGACTCTGCAGTCTCTATTCTGGAAACATCTCCACTCACAAAACTAGGAATTGGGACTGAGAAGTACCCACCATATACTGTTTAAGAGATTTTAACGGGTGGGCTAGGGGAGTGGTATTTTAAGGTAACCATCTATCTCAAATAGACAAAACCTCATTCAAAGAAGGACTGGAGGTCAAATATATGGTCCAAAAATCGCAAATGCCAACTGGCTTTCCAGATTCCTTACTTTTTTACTGACTATTTTTCCTGTCTTCAGGAGTCCCTCTTCTGACTGCTACCATGCTATTTAGAATGAAAAATCACATTTCATCTCACGTATGACCCAAATCAGGAGCCAGATAACTAAATCCAGTGGCCATGTCCAGAGTATGTACACAGGAGACTTGAACAATCATAGAATCACAGAACATCCCAGTTTCTAAGGGACCTACAAAGATAATCTGGTCCAAATTTTCATGGGAAAGGGAGCCTAGATGATGTTGTCTAGCAACCTATCCCATTGCATCTTGAAAACCTCCAGTGATGAAGACTCCATCACATCCCTGCAGAGATTATTCCAGTGACTGGTCTCACTGTAAACGTTTCTTTCTTATGTCAAGATGAAACCTCTACTGGTGCAACTTGTATCCACCGCTACTTATCTTCTCCATGTGGCTCCTTGTGAAGAGACACTGTCCTCTTTGTAACCATCCTTTAAGTACTGGTGTACTGTGATTAAGTTCCTCCCAGAGCCTTCTCTTTTTCTTTTCCATGAAGAAAAGATGGATCCTTTCTCTCTCTCTCTCTCAACTTTTCTTAAAACTGACAGATTATAATGCTAGTGCAGGAAGCTAATTCAGAGATTGGCAGTTCCCAGAACTGCCAAAACATATATGAACTCACAGCTTTTCTTTCTCTGATTATGTCCTGTATCCTCCCCTCCCAGTTATTCTGTCTTGGAATTTACTATCTGACTCAGGGCTGCATCAATCACTTCTACGACATTTCCAGATATTAAGGAAAGCTATTTGGAAAAGGAGGAGGAAATGGTGGCCTGCCTAACCAGAGAGACTGGAGGTTTGAGCAGCACTGATGCTGCAGTCCAGAGGAGAGGGCAATTTTTGGACATATATTGTAGCCTGACAGGAGTGGTTTTCTAGGCATTTGGAGCAATGAATGGAAACCCCATCAAAGTGAGCAATATCTGGAGATCAGGACTTTGCTTTCTGAGTAACTGTCATAGTAATAATGTTGTCATAGGGAGAGCATTGTTTTTACCTCTCACTCATCTTTTGACTGAGCTTTCAATTAAAGTGTCCCTGAAGTGAGCTTGGAAGTAAATTAAATGTGACCAGTAGGTTTTCTGAGTCATCAGAGACCATCTGAATTGTTCACATCCTAAGGAAATGGCAGGGCTTCTGCTCAGCAAAACAGGAAAAAGGATCAGGTCACACACTTCAAGCAAACTGATGGTATCTCTGACAGATAAGCAGGCAAAGATAATATTCTTACATACATTGAATTCCCATGTTGGATCAATTCACCTGAGTAGAAAAGTTAGGCATTGCTGTTCAGGTACTTTTTACACTGAAGTACTTCAGATTCGCTTATGGAACATTAGCAGTATTTCTGATCCAGTTCCAAAACTTGGCAATTCCTGGGTAGTTTTGCCTGAGCTCTGGCAAGTCAGCGCATGAAAGAGCACCTAGGAGGTGGATTAAATCAGCAAGAATCAAAGTTCTGAGGCAGCAAGAGGAAGTTACTCAAGCAAGAGGAAGTGGCTGTTGAAACCTTGTCAACATTTCATAGAATCATAGAATCAGCTGGGTTGGAAGGAACCTCCGAGATCATCAAGTCCAACCCTTTGAACCATTCATAGCTTGCTCATATTTAGTTTGTATGCAATTGTACTACTATTGTAGTATTGACTGAACTTTTGCATGAGACAAATTAATGCAGGTGCTTTAAACATTTCACATTTTTTCTAAGTCACCAGAATTATGGAAATATTCACATGTTGAAGATAAAACACAAAACCTAAGGGTCAAACCTTTGATCTTATTTCCACAGACATGTTAGAGTCTATTAGAAGTGTACCCTCTCACCCAGTGCGGATCTGCTGCAGATCTGTAAAAGGCATCACTCTGTGGGAAAACTTCCTATTTTTATGTCTGAGATGTGTGGGATTGGTCACAGCATGAGTTCAGATTATCTCAAATCTCCTGTTACAATCTGGGTCTTTTAGTCTTTTACACTTTCTTCTATTCTTGTTGTGTGATCCTTTCTTGCTCCCACTGCAATGTCCTGTGGACTTCTACTAAAAGTCTGCTCCCTCATTCCACATTGGGACAATTCTGTGTTTCCTGCTCTTTTGTCTACATATGTTTAATTAAAATTCAAAAAATATTCAATAGATCTTAAAATTATCCTTTATTATTTCTACTGGCTGCGCGAGTGATTGAACATTACGGTACATTACAAACACATGGGGAAAGAGGTTTGAGACCCTTTAGAGGGCACTTTGCTTTTTATTCTGCCTGCAAGGTACACCTGTGCATCTTTGGTTAGAAGTGTTAAAAAGAAAAAGCAGATGAAAGCAACAGACTTTTTTGTCAAGCTGTGACAGAAATCAAATGCAAATAGAGCTCAGTTCAAGACTGTTTGTTAAGTGTCACGTCAGTGAGTATTAAATGCAGCACATGTCGTTTTACAATGAGCATACTGTATATGAATTTTATTGATTTTTTTCAAAGAGGATACATTGAATAATGCGCTCTTCCTTACCAGTGCCAGTTTACAAGTACTTGTGTATGCACATTCGTTAGGCTCCTAAATGCTGCTGCCTTACTTAGCACATCTTGTTTTGTGGAGGCTGGGATTCAAGCTGTAGAAAGACCTACACAAATGATTCTCTCCCTCTGAGAAAAGTGGGACAGAGTAATTTAGACTTCCCAGCATGAAGCTGTCAATGAGCAGCTTCTCAAAATGATTCACAATTAGTGCACCAGACTTACACTAGGAACAGGTTCTCAACTGATTTCCTTTCCACAAAGGAGTGAGTCTGGGGCTTCCTTTTGCTATTAGCAATGTTACAGATGTATAAAAAAAATCGTCAGAGCTGGTTAACTCTGCTGCGCGTATGTCTGAAATCTTTGTACTATACTATGTATAGCACAAATCTGATTTCTCCATATTCATTCAAACTACATATTTGTCCAATTAATATTTAGCAAAATCAGTGTTAGCATTAAATTACATGTGAAAGGTAACAACAGCAGTGTCAGACTCATCTCCATGCACTAGGACAGAGACACTAATGATTCAGCAATGGGGACACCGCTCTGTGGGAGATGCTATGTATGTCCAGTGCATTCATCTATGTGCAGTTGCATCAGTATTTGAGCTGGGTTTGCTTTTGTGTGTGCACTGCCTTTCCATTGCTTGGTGTGAGAGCTCTGATTCTGCAGCCATCTCCTTACAGCACTCAAATCATCAAAGTGCTTAGAAAAGTATGTTAAAATCTGTGGCAGGTAGAAAACTTGACAATATCATACATATTGGATCATAATGGTTAGGCTTAGATGTTTAACTGCCAGGCTAAAGCATGTTAAAATTGGCCATATAGCTGTCATTTAATGCATTTACTGGTGATTTTAAGTATCTTACCTGCAGGCTCAGTGGAGGCTGCAATATTCACAGCACATTTGTAGTTCAGGCTCTTGTCTCCTGACATGCTTCACCTGCAGGGGCACAGCATTGTTACACATGAGCCAAAACAGAGGCCAGGAATTTGGATAATACTCTGAAATGTTGGCTAACAAAAGGCTCATGCTGAGAAAACTCTTACTCACATATACTACTCAATGTACTCCAAAGGTCTAGATTTCTGCTGGCAATTTGCCACTTCTGCCCTCATCCCACACACAGATATTATGGCTTCCTCTTAATCCATTTAATTACTGTTTATGATCTTAAAGAACGGAGGCAGAAATAGTTTTATACACACTGTTCTTCTACATCCACGTAACCTTAAAGTTGTCAAGCTTTACATAGCTTTTTTTTAAGAAAAAGTAGCTTACTTAAGCATTATCTAGTGATATCTAAATGAACAAGATTTGTTGGTATTCTCAAAGCAAAAATAGTCCTAGGTTAACCAAACTGTGGTCTGAAAAGGATGCAGAAGTTAGAGATTTAACTCCTGGAGTCACGTGATGGTGTCAAGTCTATCTATCTATCCATTCACTATACATCCCTCCCATCTATATTTTAGAGAAAATTGATAAATCATCAGACAGCAGTTCCTTCCACCTTGTAGATATTTTCTCCGTTCCAAAAAAGAAGGCGAAGAGCATTTCCTTCTATAATGTAATAGAAAACATATGGTATGGCAGCCATTTAAAGGTCACTATTTCTGTGAGCTAGGAAGAAACAGGCTGCATAACCCATAACTTTTGTATGAAAAAGATTTAAAAAAAAAAAATAAAAAAAATGTTAACCCTGTGAAAGTTGTTTCCATTTAAGTGAGTTCTGAGTAAACATATGTTAATTAAACTTACTGTGCTGTTTCTTACCGGCACTTTTATCGGGGCTTTAACTATAATTTTTAAATAGTTATTTGGTTGGGAGGAAACAAATTAAATGATAATGTCTAGGATGCTGACCCAACAAAAAGTTTTTTGGGTATGAAAATGTCGTGGTTTGAGCTCCCCAAAAATCCAATTTCCAAGCTTCCCCACAATTTGCTTCAGTGTGAGAGGGTTTTCAGACATAACACAGTTGCCAGCACAGGGAAATTATAGTAAAATTTATTACTAACGCAATAAATACTATAGAAACTAAAAAGCAAATAAATACACGGTGTTAATACAATCTCTACCACACCTGAGGCTCTCCCACATCAAACCAGAAGAAGAAAAACCATCAGGGTGATAGCTAAAGTCTCTCTCTCGTTGGGGTATCGAGGAAGGGGTCTTTTGCACCCCCACCAGCTCCTTGGCCTCTGCTGAGGTCTCCTCCTGAACTGCAAGGGAACACTTGCTGCACCAGGTCTTCATCACGAGCTACAGGGAGTCAGCTTTGAGTCCTTTCGCCCTAGTTCATGAAGGTTCCTCCCAGGGAGTAAGATGTTCACTCTTCCTCTCCAGGTTACAGGGTTTCTGGGTTTTGCTCAGTCTTTTATTATACCCCAAATAGTTTCCAACAAAAGTCCTTACCCAGAAAAAGTCTGCTTGGTTTGGCTTCTCTCTGTTTCAGCTGCAGCTTCAGCTCGACTTCCACATGTCACAGGAGGCATTCCTCCCCCACATTTCTCTTTTGGTTTTCGGCTGCCCCCGCCCAAATCACCTCCGAGCCCCTCGGCCTGTCTCTCCGTTGCTCAGTCTCAACTCAGGGTCACCTCCTCCCCCGCCATTGTGTGTGGGGGTGGAAAGTGGCAGCGAGACTGCTTTAAGTCTTTCTCTCATCCTCTGCCTGGAATTCTTCCAGCTCTACATGATCTCTGCTGCTTCTGCAGCTTCCAGGCCACCCATCGGCCCATCTATGGCTCGGCTCCGATGCCCTGCCTGCCTGCTGGGGGAAGGGGGCTGGCTCCAACCCCCAGCTGGCGTCTCAAGCCCTGTGCCACTGCCTCTTCAGGGTGGTGGGGTGAAACAGTGAAGAAACCACCCCGGCCCTGGCCAAACCAAGACCGCGGAGGCCCAGGGGCCCCTGGCCGCCCCTTGAGGCTCCGATTCTCTCTCTCTCTCATTACCAACAACTTCCTTCTGGCTGTTGTAATATCCTAATTTCACAGGGGTGAAACGCAGCTCTGATTGGCCCCTGATCAGAAACTCACCTGGGAACAATCACTTCCAGCCCCCCCAGGGGGGGCGGCTCAAAGCACGACAGAAAAACATTAACCAACTCTATTTACTCAAATAAGATCAGTGTCTCCTATAAAGCCATTTTTTCTTTCTCCTCCTCTTCTCTACCGATACTCCTCTCAGAGGATTTTTTTCATCCCTTCATCATTATCTCTGTCTTTTGCAGTCATGCCTCTTCACTGTTTCTGTTTACATTTTCTCCAAAACCATTTTTTCCCAATTTGCCTCCTTTAGGCATTTCTATTATTTTGCTTCTTTTTCACCTCTTCTGTGATTTTCTTCCAGAGCCTTCTTTACTCATCCCAAAGTTTAATTCTTGCAATCTCAAATCTTCTTTGCACTGTTTGCCTTACCTCCTCTTGTAGTTCTTCCCGATAGACCAAGCTCATTCTTATATGTTCTTAGTAATCTGACCTGACCACAAAGAAAAGCAGTGCTTTGGCAGCTAAGTTAAGAAAACACAGGTACTGTATCATAACCAGATTTATTTTTAAGCAACTACAGGTCAAAAGCAGCATTTAGGATTATTAGAGATCAGAACGTCCGTGCTCAGCAGTATCTTTAACACATTTAAGAAGACTGAGCTGAAGCATTGAGGAGGCTTGTTTTTATTTCTGAGTAAGGGCAAGGGCTCTGCATGTGTTTTTTTTCTTTGTATCCAGGTATTTTAGTGGCTTCACACAGATATTTGCTCAAAAGTAGTCTTCAAGCCTAAAATTAAAAGTTAACATTTTATTCATTCACAAACTGCCAGCAGGCATGGTGACTTACATTGATTTTCTAATTTAATATAATTCAGGAAATGTAAGGAAAATACATTTTTGTCAGTGTTTTTGTCTTCAATTGTTCGTAAGAACTACATTATATCGGGGAATCATTAATCCTTACTTTTGCTAGTGTGCATCCTAAAGACATTTGACTCTCCAGATAATTTACAGGAAATAATATGGTTACTATAAAAGTCCCATTTAAAAGAAGAAAATTATTCTAATAGCACGTTGCAGTTTTCCTCAGAGAATGACTTGACAATATTTCCATTGTGCATATTGGACTGCATCAACACTCTAAATGTACAGCAACAAAAATTGACAATGAATCTTGGCTAACAAGTATTCTAGCACTGGAGGAAATGAACTTTGCAGCATGCCACAGCTGACATTACAGGTCTGGAGTATGTCCCAATAAAAGTATATTCCATATCCCAGACTTAATTATTCTATCAGTGATGTCCGTGACTTCTACATGAAACTAGCAGGTGTGATACAAGACCTATTGGCGACCATCAATCTTCTGTAACCCCACAGAACTAGAAGAACAGAAGAAATAGTTGTTCTATTCTCAGCAGAGGAAGAGTAGAAGGGAATTAGCAGACAGCCAAGTGATGTGATTTGTCAAGTTTCACAGAGGCATTGCTTGGCAGAGGGAATGTACTACAGAGACTTTTCTGCCAGATCTTATCTAGTTCTCCTTCTCTGGATGAAGGCATTAGGCAAAATTGATAGGAATTTGATGTGAAGCAGCCAGAAGGGCCACAACCTTTTTTCTTTCCAAGCACTACTTCTGTTGAACACCATAGGAGTTTTACCATTGCTCTCCATTGCTTTGAGCAGGTTCTAGGACATTCCCCAAGAATTTCCACAGGTATTTAGAAAAATTTCTTTGCTTAGATAAAGAAAATAATGGTCTGATCTCCTTCTTGCAGTCAGAAACCCTTGAATAGAGGCAGAGGAGCATCTGTCAATGTACATGACCTGTGCAAACCCTCTGGATGTACCACTGGATTTATGGGCTTCCCATGACTGGAGTTCTTGTGCACGATGTAACGTACAATATGCTGCTCAGAGCTAGTCTCCTGTTTGCTTACTTCAGATTAGAGATAGTCTTGGTCAGATATGGGAAGGATTGGCCTGTCTTGCCAGAATTTGACAAACCGATGGTCACTCTAACTGTGGCAGACAATTGAGATGCTGTTGGTAAATCTCAGGAAAGCTCTTGAGCGTGTTCCTAGAAATAGCAGAGGACCACAAACGTATTAAGGTGAAATTCTGTTTTCTGGCTACATGCCATCTGAGGTCTCTTTTCTATTTCTACCTATAAAAACTCCATGTCACAGATAGCTTTCAAAAGGACTTTGTTGAACAGTACAATGTGGCTTTTCAGGGTGAGTGTGACTAAAATACGACTACTTTTATAGGCATTAGAAGAGTGTGTTTCAGAGTGTGTTCAGACTAAAAGCCAGGGTGGGCCTTCTAGGAATTAGAGGGAGAGTACACAAATAACGATCTTTTAGGACTTTTTCTGTTGCTGAAATTGAAATCAACCCCCATATCAGTGCACAATGGTCAGGCAGTGATCATCATTAAATTCCCACTGGCCGTCTAAATGAGCATTAGATACAGACATTTTCAATAAGCTCTGAACTGAGGTGAAGTGAAAACTTAGAGCTGAATTGTGTCACCACATCTTTGATCCATCCCATCCTGGATGATGTAGCATGTTGAGTAAGCATTCTTTTATGCTTTAAACATCTAAAGGTTATAAATCTAAGAATTCAGATTTACAGTAACAATAATCATCCAAGGTCCTGTGAGGTTAAGGACTTTCTAAATATGGGGTCAGTGAAGTCATGAGACATCAATGAGACATCACCTCAAAGCAGAAGTGGGGAGAGAGCAGCGGAGCCTCTTTATATTCTTATTGAAGTTGTGCCTGGGCAGTGATCTTGTGTTCAATGCAGCCTTCATGAAAGTAAAGCCTGACACAGTTGTGGCTATTTACTACAAAATCATAATTCATGTTTACTATAGTACATATCCTATAAGACCTACATAGAATTGTATTTGTGCAACATACCTTGCTTGCAGGAAAATAATTACATATATGTATAAAAAAAAATATATATATATAAATATAATACAGCACTGGTATGGCAACAATTAAGGAGAGAAACAGCTTCAGTGAAGGCATGACATTCAAAAAAAAATGTGCCTAGGAAAGGAAAATAATAATTTGCTCTCCTTCATGTATTAATGGCAGAAGTCTTAAACACAGCAGATGTTCAATGTGCAACTAGGAATGCAATTAACAGTTTTTATAGCTAATATTGAGTCACTTCATGTTATTGTACTCATAACCAGTCAAAACTATGCTTATCAAATAAATTGATTAACTATCTACAAATAAAGGGCTATCAATTGCAAATGAAGTTCAGAGAATTCAGGCCTACTGCTTTTGTCTCACTTTTAAAAACATTTTCTTATTATACCAGTGTTTTATGGTTTCAAAGACAAATAGAAGCCTGCATGTTTGGAGTAAAAAAGATCTTCAACACACATAGAGGCTCTTGCTCATAGAGGTGGAGGGATACTTAAAACTGCAGCTGGAAATCATCTAGGGCTCAAACTATAGAAACAGGTCTTACAGAGTATATTTACGGTCAAGGCAGCTGACAGACTATGAAGCAAAAAATACTTTGGCTTCTTAAAATAACTACATAATATTTAAATAGCTTTGGTAGTTGAAGATCTGGTTTGTACGTTACTGTAGAGAGTAGCAGTTCTTTTTTATGAGGTGCTGAAACTAGAATATGTTTTTTATTGGATCACACTGCAAGAAAGAGTTGTGCCAGTTGTATGAGACAAAAGAGCACCAGCCTGCATTCAGAACCTCTTCTGGGTGTAGAACCTTCCTGTCAACAGTAAGGCTGGCAAGATCTATCTTTCAAGTGAATGATTCACTGATGTTTGTCATCAATGGTAATCAGCAGAAACAGTGTGACATGAAGATGCCATTTTCTGCAGTGAAACAACTTTCTCAGATGTGTTTTTTTGCAGAGCTGTACAGAACTTCACTTTGACAAAGGATATAGTTTTCACTGTTGACATAAAATGTCCTTCCTTTCATTTTGTACTCTTAAAAATAAATATTAAATGAAAATTAAACCACATTTAGGCCTGTATTTTTTAAAGAGATCCCCAAAATCTTTCTTTGAGAACAATATAAATAATAAGAATTTCTGACTACTGAATATATACCACTTTTCCACTGACCTGCCTGCCTAGAAAAGAATTGTTAGTGTTGTTTTAATTTTAAGATTAGTATAGAAAGAAGGTTGTTCCCCATTAGAAAACACTACCTTTTAGGCTGGACCAGATTCCTCCATCTTGATTAACTTTTATTAGTCTCTCTGTAAATTGTCGTATTTACCTGGCTATGATCACACAGTGTGAATAAGGCATCAAAAAAACCCCAAACAACATTACAATGATGAACTTAGGTTTAAGAAGCAGGATTCATTTTTATTAATACTTTTATTTACATATCAGCAAGTTATTTTAAAATACTGGCATTCTACCTATCAATTAATTTAAAAAAAAACTCCACAGCCACATTCACATACTCATAATAATTCAAATGTTCGCAAAATAATCTATGAAATTTAGTACTCAGTTTTTAAACTCCTCATCCAAGAAATTACACTCTGAAGAAGGGCCACTTTTCTAAGGACTTTCGTCACCCAGATATGTTTCAGTAATCTACATGGAAAAATATTTTCTGAGAAATCATATAACCTTAGAGCAAAAACTAATAAAGCTATTAGAATTAGGACCAACTAAGATT